CCATAAAATATAAGATACATCACCTAAAATTTTCATACATGTCGATTATAATATGCACTTTTTTTAGCAACCTCATAGGAGATATACAATTTCCTTAACACAGTCTAATCTTGGTTAGCATGATGGAACCATACGTTGTGTGCATCTTCAAGTCATGTAAGCTAACGGAAATCAACATGTTTTAATGACCATTCCATGCTGAGGTTTGTATAAGGCTTCAACATTAAACAATCTAAGTAAGGCACACCTCAAAGTACAACTAAAGATGCAATTTTGGTTTCACATGGCCTTGTGATGATGTGAAAAATCTATTGTCACATTTAATTCTGAAAAATAAAGCTAAAAAAATTGAACAAATAGATTTTTTGAAAATAGATAGTCCACATGATATGTTCTAAGACGCACTATTTCTATTGACCATGAAAGTTAAGTGGGGAATGGCCCTAGTCACCCTCAGAATTGGGTCAGTCAATTTTTTTACAAACCAAAACTTAGAAATTCCATATCTATCTTATTTTCTTCCAAATCCACTTAATTTGTTACAAAATCATTCATCTTTAGTTGATTTACAATAGCCCTTAAAACATTCTAGGATCAAAACATATTTTTGGGGGAGATTGAAATATTAAAGCACACTTGCTTTCACCTTAAAACGCTCAGCCCCCATTTCATCAATTTCACCCAATTTTATCAACTAATGACTTGACATTTGTTTCAAATGGTCATTGAGCTCTCTATCAAACCCACATAATAAATTGTTGCATCAAAATAAAAAATAAAAGATATTAAGAGTTTGAAATTCTGTTTCTTGAGCCTCCGAAACCCTAATCTGCCGTACTCCCTCAATTCTCAACCAACAGTTTTGAAATTATATTCAAATTGTTAGTATTTAAGCCCATTAAACATCCCTATAACAATATGTTGGATCAACAAGCAAAGTAGAAGAAACCAAAATTCCAAAATTTGGGGGGGGGCTTTTTTAATCCTAAATTGAAAATATTCAATTTCTATTTCATTTTTCACCATATTCATTCAAATTTGTCATAAAATGTTCCTAACATATTGAATTATCATCTTTCCCTAAAGGGTGCGGTTTGTATAGAGCCGAGGGTCTAAACAATCAAAGTAAAGCCCACCTTCAATGTGGTTTCAATATTGGAAATCTTTTCGATATGCTTAAAATATGTTTTTATCTTTAATTATAAAATTTAAAGCTTCAAAAAATAGTATAGATCAAGCAAGTCTATGAAAGCTTGAAAATCTTGAAAATTGACTGTCTAAAATGTGTTACACTATTTCTACTATTTCCAACACTTGAAATCGAATTTTTTCTGATGTCCATCCATCTTGATGTCGAAATGATCAATTTAAAGGATATTTGGGCATCAAAATAACCTCTTCTAATGAAATTTTTAAGGTGGGCTCTAATTTGATTGTTTAGAGCCTTGGCTCTCTATAAACTTTTCCCTTCACTAAATTCATTCAAACTTATGTGAAAATGCTTCTAACATATTGCTCTCTCATTTTTCACTAAATTGATCCAAATTTGTCCCAAAATTTTCTTCACATATTGATGTATACACACCCTAACAAAGTTTTTTAATCAAAATAAAAAATCTAAAAGATTGACCTTTGGTTTTTGGGTGCGGTTTGTAAAGGCTCGAAACAATCAAAGTAATTCGCACCTTCAAATAGTGTCAAGAAGTGTGGTTTAAATGCTGAAAATGTTTGTCATTGCCTTAAAATATAATTTTACCTTTAATTATAAAATTTTAAGCTTTAGAAATAGTGTAGTTCTAGTAGATCTATGAAAACTTGAAAATCTTAAAAATTGACGGTCGAATAATGCGTTACAAGATGCACTATTTTCAAAATTTGAAATCCAGCTTTTTTTCATGTCCATGCATTTAGATGTTGAGATGATCAATTTTAGGATATTTGAGCATCAAAACAACCTCTTCTAGTGATATTTTTGAGGTGGGCTCTAATTTGATTGTTTAGAGCCTTGGCTCCGTATAAACTTTTTTTTTTTTTTTCCAAATCTTTCATTTTATGTATTTTCTTTATTTCCCTAGTTTTCTCTATTCTCTATATTTTCTTAAAAATGTTTTTAAACACCTGTTCGAGTTTGTAAACACTTTGTACATCATTCACGAGATGTATATATATATATATAGAAAGACCTTGTGGGGGCAAAGAAGAGAGAGCGGCCTTTGGGGCAAGGAAGAGAAAGAGGCCCTGGGGGGCAAAGATGGTCGTGTATAATTAAAATCATGGGGAAAGGCATGGGTCAATGAAAAGGGGTTGTTATTGTCCAATAAAATAAAGAATTTCGTCATTCGAAAAGTTATTTTAATTGAAAAGTATTATCATGACTTTTGATTGTGCTAAAAAAATTCAAGAAATCGAACCAAAGCTTCAATATTTGAGCATCGGGCTTGATTCAATAAACTTTAATTGCAATCTCAACCATACTCAGTAAGTCTCCCTTTAAAATACCGTGCTCCAAAATTTTCAAAAGATCTTAAAAAAATTGCTTATTTTTAATGGAACCGATATAAATCCATATTTTGTCTTTATAATTTTATTGATTCAATAACTTAATATTGTTGAATTTTTATTTAAAGATACATTAGCAGTGGAAGTAAATTAAAAATCTTCATTTAACAAAAAAATTCCATCAAATCTTTCACCATTGAGGTCCCTAAAAAATGTGTACAAAGAAAAATACAAGCATTATATCCCAAAAAAAAATCAAAAAAAATTATATATCTCAAGATAATAGGTAGAATTAGAAGATGAGTAACCCAATGGAAAATCTTTCTTTTTTATCTTTCAATCCATAGCATATTTATAAAGAGCAAGATAGAGATTCAATGATACTAAAGATTTAAGCAGCTATGAATATAATGCGAGATTTGAATTTGCTTAAGCATTTTATTGTTATTTTATGCATAGAGAAGTTTGATTAATTTCATATTTTATTTTTTATTTTTAATTTCAGTGGTGTATATAGCATAGCATTTTGGGTGGACCACTATTTTACATATTTGGATTTTTGTGTTTTCTTTTAATTAACTGCAATCCTATATTGAGAGCATTTCTTTTCTTTGAAAAATAATCCTATACATTGGTTTACAGTTCTTGCTATTTGCTAATTAGTTATTGTGTTTAGTATTATTGTTGTGTTTTATGTTATGCTCCCAATAAATCTATGATATGCTTTGTGTTGTGACAACGGGTAAACATTATTGATGGATTTATTAAAAATTTCATCAAAAAATTGTCAAGTAGTACTCTAATGACACTAGTAAGGCTATAAAATAATTATTTAATAACTTAAATATATCTATGCAATAGCTGCAAATCATAATCATATATTTTTATCATTTTTATATATCTGTACGCTTTTTTGAACCAAAACCTAAATACTCATGATTATGTAACTTACTTTATTTTTGGGCTATCAATATTTTTTATCTATTTTTTTTTTATTTTTTAAGATAAAATCAATTTATTACTTATATTTTTATATTTACCGATATTTTATTATTTCCCAACTTGCTTACTACGATCTCAGCCAATATAAGCCCCTCGTCCTTCCTTGGATGGAGCCCCTCTTCCTTGAATAAAGAAATAATAAGAGACCGTTGCACCTCTTAAAAAATCATTAAAAACTAAGGAAAAACATAAACATACAAAAGGCAAGAGAGAGAAAATCATGGCCAGAAAAGGATTCTCTCTCTCTAGCCGACCAAGTGCAAGGGAACCAACCTTGGCCCACAAAACAAGTATGAACGAAAATAGAAAATAGGCTTCACCCTGAATCTCTCTCCACATGGGCCTGTCTCGGCCAGCTCCGGTCCAGCCTTATAAAAGTATGACGTGGGCCACAAATTTGTGGCCCGAGGGCAGGATTAGAGCTAGCATGGACCCAGTGCGGTCCATTTATTTTTGGATCCGGCCCCAATCAGGGCGAGAGCTGAGCCACTACAGACTGGGCCCGGCCCGTTGCTTCTCTCTCCTTGTAAATCTCTCTCTAAATTTAAGATTATGAACAAAAACAGGAAGTATGTTTATTTTGAAGAAGATTTCACAGCATTCATTTTTTTACAGGTCGGCTTCGAGACTTCCCCCACGCCTCTTCTCTCTCTCCTTAAATCTCGGTCACCTCCCTCTGTCTCTCTCTCTCTCTAAACTTCAAATGTCCTTGAACCTCTCTCTCTCTCTCTAGAATCTCTCAAATCCCAACAGTCCTTACGTCTCTCTCACTTATGAGCACTTCTCTCTCTCTGACTCTCTGTTCATCGGTCTCTTGTGTATATAAACCTCCCCTGTTCAAACACCAACTTCAAATCTCCGTTCCACCAAAAAAAACAGGGACGAGAGCCTTGACCTCGAATCTTCTTCTTCTCCCATGGGGATCCCCTGAAAAACCCATCTCTCCAAAACCCCTTTAAAACCCTAAACCAGAGAGAAAAAAGAGGATAAGCCTCTGAATCCCAAGATGGGTATCACCAGTAGGCAAAAAACCCCCAAAAAACCCTTTCAAACCAGCTTTCTCCCCATCAATGGCGTCTCAGAACCAGAAAGGAGCGCAAGCAATAGCGACACTGATTCTATGCAGGAAGGTCCCTCTCATGCCGAAGCTAATGGAGGTTCGGTTGGTCTTTTAGAGAGAGAAAGACCCATTAAAGGCATGGATGCCATGGCCTTGGAGGAGGTGATTAGAGGAAGAAGCGACCGGGTCAAGAAGCTTTTGAGTATTTACAGAGAGCAGTACTGGTTATTAATGGAGGAGCTGAGGTACAAGTACAGGGAGTACTCCTGGAGGTTTGGGAAATGTGGGTTTGATGAGAAGAAGGATGAGAGAGAAAGAAAGGAAGAGAGAGAAAGAGAGGGAGAAGCCGGGGTTGGGTCTAAGTTAGAGAGAGAAGGAGGGGTGCGGTGTTTGTATCAAAGTTGTAAGGCAAAGCCAATGGCGCTCTGTGATTATTGCCATGCCCATGTTCTTTCTGATAGCAAGCAACAATTATACAAGGGATGTTCATATGTTATTAAGAGGTTGGTCTTTTTCTCTAAGCCCTGAACGTGATTTTTCGTTTATTTACTTTATTGCCATGGTAATGAACTTGCTTTTTCCTTTATTCGTTTGTTAGTGTTCAACTTGCTTTTTCGTTATTATTGTCTTTTTGGTGTGGGATGGTTTGATAATGGAATGAGCTTGCTTTTTCCTTATTTGGTTTTTTTGGTTGGATGGTTTTGTGGCTTGTGAAGGATCATCATGTTTTGTTTTTGGTTCTCTAGTTTCATCATGTGTTTAGTATTCAAACTTTGATTCCTGGTTTTTCCTTCCTGTTCACCTTTTTTTATTGCATTCACAATGAGCCTAGCCAAAAAAAGACATTTTCAGTGGCCCTTGGATTTGTGGCTCTGTGTCTCTCTCTCTCTCTCAAGAACGCTTACACAGAAACCGACGTGAACATTCCTCTTCTTCTTCTCTTATATTTTGTAGTAGCTGTAGTAGAACTGGTTTCTATGTAATTTAGGTGGCCTTCTCCGTTCCTCTCTTTCTATACCTCCATCCCCCATTCCATAGACAAACAAACAAGAACAAGATATGCTGATTCTGATTATATTGGATCATTGATTGATTATCATTACCAATGCAATGTTATAAAAGTTGGCAAATTGACCTAGGACTAGTACAAGTTTGGCGTGCCATGGCACTTCACCAAGTCTTGGTCGGGCCTCTACTATCCCTTTTATTTTTGAAGATATTCAACCAAGTCGCACCGAGTCAACTTGGCTCAGCAATAGGTGGGCATCCAAGCCCTGTCCATGGTTTTGATCTATGCAATAAAGAAAAAGTAAGTGGCAATGTAATCCCATAGTCTCAGTCCATTGATGCTCAAGTTTGCCAGCTTATCAGCCATGGATCCTACCTCTCGAGGGTCACAATAAATATGCTTCAACAATAATCGATGTATCTAATTGTGTGTAAGGAGCCACTTTTATACTGCCTTGTGTAAACTTACAATAGAACTTGGATTCCAAGAAAGGGTGTGTTTGCCTCTACCTATGTAGAGTTCACAAGGTGCATTGGTCTCTTGTAGAACTTCAAGTCCACCTTTTCACTGTAATGAACCATTGTCATGATTTCATTGGGCAACATGTCTCATCCTTTTGAAATTTTGGATGGCCACTGCCTCATGATTCCCAAACGAATGTTGTTCAAACGTCATTCACCCCATGTTGCGATATTTATAACATTACATCTTTTGTGATGCTCTTGATCAATGTTCCATGTCCCATATGTCATTGCCAAAAGAAATTTCTATTCTTTCATGCTTTCCAGATCCTATAGATCATTGCCACCAAGTTAGACTCCTAAGCTTGCTTCTCTCTCGTTCCATCTTGTCCTTGTGCAATATTTTTAGAAAGTCTTTTCAACTCAATTTAAGTTGCTTGACTCAAGCGGAATCAATGGGTAGTCAAGTTGGAACATATTTCATGTTGTGCTACCCTGCGTTCAACAAAATCTGGGTTACTCGAACTTGAGTGGCCTGATCTTTCAGCTTTCTAAAATGTCATCCTATTTTGTCTAAGTCTAGGAAATTTTCCTTTTTTTTTGCTACAGTTGTGGAACCTGATCTCTAATTTTAAAGATCAACCTATATCAAAAGTTTTGTAGGGTTCAGTCAGGGCTTCTTTGAACCTTACCTTCCGTCCTAGATCACTCTCCTTTGCCAAAGGTACCCTTTGTGCCCAATATTTTTTATTCTCTGTTTGTCCGTCCTACATACACACACACAGACCACCACAGAAAAAAGAAAAAAAAAGAAATCGACAGAGATGGCTTTTCATACTTCTAGTGGACGTGTAAGCTCATATCAGTGTGAGACTTCTGGTTCATGTTCTAAAGTGTTACAATGTATTTTCTATTACCACCTCTGAGTTGTGCTCTGAAGCCCTCACTTTCTAGTTAGCCAACAACCTGAGAGGGTCAACGTGGTCACGAATCTTGGCAGCCAGATTATTTTGAAGACTGTATACTGGGATGTAAGAGAACTAAAGTCAGCCAACAACCTGAGCTGGTCACAAATCTTGGCGGCAAGATTGTTTTGAAGGTTGTATACTGGGATGTAAGAGAATTAAAGTCAGCCAACAACCTGAGCGGGTCAAAGTGGTCACGAATCTTGGCAGCAAGATTATTTTGAAGACTGTATACTGGGATGTAAGAGAATTTGTTAGTAACTCTATGCATTTGTGTGTTTTAGACTTTTAGTTTTGTGGCTTTGTGTTTGTAGATGTTCTGATTCATGACATTAATGTATGTACTGTTCTTGTAATCCATCAGTTATAAATGACTATACTACATTAACATCATATTTTGATAATGTAAAATAAAATTAAATAAATGTTAATATTTTTGTTCTTTTATTATTTATCAGTTCTGCGAATTTCGCTGACAAAATGTAAACACAAACGATTTGAATAAAATAAAATGTTGTCAGTTTTTCACCCCCTTCCTTCTGGACTTGCTGAAGTGTGACTCGGCGTAACAAACTGTTTGAAGAAATATTCATTAACTATGGACAAATTAAGTAGCATCATAATTCAGGAACTTATTGTTTACCTCCCTAGACAAATAAGTACTGTTTATGAGTAGCATATCAGTATTGATTTGGTCCAATATTTGTCATCCAATCATGCTGAATTGACCCTGAATATCTTAGACTACTTAGTTATAGACATAAATATAAATATAAGTTATAATATTGTGTATTATAATGTAATTTCTACGACTTTGATATGTCAAGCCTTTGAGCAACTTGATGTGACAACTTGAATTTCACACCACCCAGGAAAAAAAAAATTGATATGACAAAAGCTAAATAGGTACTATGATAAATTTAAAAGTTAATATGGACATTTTAAATGTGAGGTTTTGGTATGGCCCTGGATGCAAGTGGTCCCTTTGTTTTTCCATAGATCGGGAACTGAAAAACCATTTCAATCCACTGCAAACCCATTTCCACTCCTAAAAATAAATTGGAGTTCCCAACATCATGCAAGTCTGACGAATCTTCATTGTTTCGATAAAATATGGTGCAAGATGGACCTTTTTAAGGTCTCCAATTCCATTTTCTTTTAGGTCCATGATAATGGAGATCTATAGGATGGAACTGCCTAGTTTTGGTGCTCTATCCATCTCCAAGACGGATTTTGGGAGAGTGGCAACTGGCAGCCTGGACCACTCCATATAGTTTTCCTATTTTATACATTTCCTTAGAAGTTAGAACACATATTATTTATGTGATATATCTGAAATATAATCTAAAATTACTAGATTATACCTGAATGGGTAAAAGCATTCTATGAGGCATTTTGGCATGGAACTTGTAAATCAATTAATTCTTGGCTCCTAGCATTCCTGTGTTTCAAGAAGGACATGTTCTGATTTGTTGTGTAGCTGGGGAGGAACTTGTAGATCAATTAATTCTTAGCCCCTAGCATCCCGGTGTTTCATGAAGGACATGTGTCTGATTTGTTGTGTAGCTGGGGACAAGTTGCATTTTCGAGGACCTCAACATCTAGAGGACCCACATCCCATGGCAATAACAAGTGCTTGGTACTAAGTTAACATTCTCAAAAAAATAACTACTGTTTGGTACTTTTTAAAGTGAATTTGAATGGGTGTTAGTCCAAAATAAGGCATTGATGTAGGAGTTTTATGGGAACCATTTTGATGTCGTATTTAGAGTCAAGATTAGTCGTATTTGTATGCCCTTGATAATGAGGAGAATGCTGAAGTTGGAACATAATCCAATGGGCAAGCAACATGAAGGATCCCACTTGGAGAGTGAATTTCTTATCGTGGGGGTCAATGACTTTAATGCTTACCAGTTCAGTTTTAATATGTCCCAAATAGTGCCAGTGTAGTGGCTGATGCACTGGCTGAGGTGGGAATGGGGCACCCTTCGTTGGTCTTTTGTTTTCTCATTTATCTTTAATTGTGGGGTACCATTAGGGGTGGCAACGGGTCGGGTATAGCCATACCCGTACCCGGGATACACTATGTGGACCCAAACCTAGACCCGTACCCGATGTGTCCAATTTAAACCTATCCATACCCTTACCTGATGGGTAATGTTGGACCCAGAACCCATACCCGTACCTGACACTAGCCATGAGGGAGTTTGGAAATAGTTAAATGCCCCAATGCCTCTCTACTTTTATAGATCTCGAGCCACTTATGTCTTTGTATTCTCATTAATGTGGGACTAATCTTCCTATCTATACACAACTACCTCTCTCTCTCTAATATTTTTTTGAATGCCATGTGCTTTTCAAAATTCAAACCATCCCACTTTTCAAAATTCAAATCATCCCTACTATTGATGTGATAGAGAGAGAGAGATATACCAACCAATCAAGCATCGGTGTTTTATTTTTGGACTGTTGCAGGCATAGTTCCAAAAAGTGGTGCTAGGCGGGTCCTAGGCGGCCTGGGGGGTCCAGGCCGCCCAGCGCCTAGGCAGGCGGCTAGAACCTGGGTGGCCCAGTCGAATCCAAAAAGGATGCCTAGTCAAAAATGCTTTTAAGGATTCAAAATCTTCTAAAAAACCTCCCAATAGATTTATAAAACATTAAAAATTAAATCTAATATCAATGGGTGATGTTTTGATCAATTTTTGTCAACTTTGAAAAAAAAATAATTTCCGCCTCTGGGCGGGGCGGCCGCCTAGGCGGGTTCCGTACCACCTAGGTGGGGCGCATGCCCTAGGAGGCCGCCATGTGTTGGGCGTTGGGCGACCGCCTAGGCGGGTTCTGTACCTCCTAGGCGGCCGCTCAGGGATTGCCGTCCAGATTGGCCACCTAGGCCTGGGCGATGTGCCCAGGCCTTCTGGACCGCCTAGGCGGTCTGCTTTTTGAAGCACTGGTTGCAAGGTTGCAACATTGTGTCAGAGCCTCACATCGGTATTGCAGCCAAACCCATGACGATGATGCCTTTAAATTTATTTATATATTTAGAGATAGAAAGTGAGCCCATTGTTATA